AGGCTTGGCAGTGTGGCCCCTTCAGCAAGCCACGTGCCTGGACTGTGGCTGCAGAACTCCTGACTCCCTTCCTGTCCAGATAAGTTTCCTTCTTCTTTCCCTCCTTTTCCCCCTTCCCCTTCTGCTTTTCCCCCTTTCCTTTCCCTCCTTTTACCTTCTCCTCTTTCCTTTCCACCTCCCCCCCTTTCCCCTATATCCATCACCTTTGAAAGAGCTTCTACAAGGGACTGTGCTGGGTTGTCCTCATAGTTCTTTCCTATGTGCTGGGAGAAAACAACAACAACCACCCCCAAAACCCAAATGATATGATCCTATAAATAAAGCAGGGAATAGCTCAGTCCTGTTTCTCCCCTCTCAAAGTCTAAGACAAGATGGGTTGTTATTCCTCAGCACTTTAATTTGGCGTTGCCATTGCTAGTAATGGGCTGTGAGCTTTGCACTGAGGTTGCAAGAGCTCTGCACTGAGGCTTGTGAGGTTGGCTTTGACTGTGCTTGTCTTGCCCTGCCTCGGGCTTTTCTTTATTAACTTGGCTGAGTGATAAGAGCAGTTTTTCTATACAACCAAGTGGCTACAACTAATTTGTTCTACTTCTGCGTGTCTCTGTATAGTGCAACTGTAGGTTTCTATAGGTAGCAGTAACAAGCCATTATTCTGTGCAGAATGAGGTATTTATGACTCTGACCTAAGGGCACACTGCAGAGAAATGCAGGCTTGGTACAACAACAAAGGTCTTGAGAAGTGGACATGTGGGATGTGCTGCAGAGGAGTGTGCAGTTACAGGGTGATGAATCGTAGAATCACTCAGGTTGGAAAAGACCTTTAAGGTCATCAGGTCCAACCATTCCCAGCCCTGCCAAGGCCACCACTAACCCCTGGCACTAGAGGCCTTGTCTACCCGGGCTGTGAACACTTGCAGGGACGGTGACTCCAGCCCTGCCCTGGGCAGCCTGTTCCAATGCCTGAGCACCCTCTGGGCAGGGAATTGTTCCTCAGCTCCAGCTAAACCTGCCCTGGGGCAGCTTGAGGCCGGTTCCTCTTGTCTCATCCCTTGTTCCTTGGGAGCAGAGACCAGGCCCCTCCTGGCTCCATCCTCCTATCAGGCAGTTGCAGAGAGCGAGAAGGTCCCCCCTGAGCCTTCTCTAACCCCCCCAGGTCCCTCAGCCCTTCCCCATCACACTTGTGCTCCAGGCCCTGCACCTCCTGTAGTAAATTGAGATGTAGCAGCTTCAGGCCAATGAAAAGAAGCATGTAGAAAGAAATATGGTTACTAAACATCATTGAAATGAGGGAGTGGAACCTGGGGAGAGGGAGAAGGAACCGTCAGCATGAACGTGTTATTTTTCCTGGTGTGGGGCTCCAAATGCTGACAATTTACTGTAATGTCACCAGCATGAAGCCCCCAAGAGTGGGCAGGGTGAGCATAACGTCAAGGAAAGGGGTAGAAACCACTCAGTGTGTGTAATAATAATATAATTATATATTTATACATAGAAGTATATGTGTATTATATGTATAGGATTATTCTTCATTTTCCTGTAGTAGTTAAATCTAGACCAACAATGATTCCTGGATGAGACTGTTAAGAATACAATGATGCAAATAATATATATACACACATACATGGGGTGCTTTCCTTTTACCCATAAAGTGAGATTTTGAGGTTGTAGAAGTAGCACTGCATTTTTATCCAAGTCTTTCTATGGTTCTCTTGCACTCCCCGCTCTTGCTGGTACCACACCAAGCTTAGAGTTGGAATAACAGAGCTGGTAAAGAAGCACTAAGTCATGGGATAGAAATCTGCATAAATGCAGGGGGAAGAAGTCCCCCCAGTGCTAACCCAAAGCTCCAGGCTTGACCCTGAATGGGCAACCATGGGGGGCAAGGTCATAGAATCATAGAATGGTTTGGGTTGGAAAGGACCTCAAGATCATCCAGTTCCAACCCCCTGCCATGGGCAGGGACACCTCACACTAGACCATGTCACCCAAGGCTCTGTCCAACCTGGCCTTGAACACTGCCAGGGATGGAGCATTCACCACTTCTCTGGGCACCCTGTGCCAGCGCCTCAGCACCCTCACAGGGAAGAGCTTCTTCCTTCTATCCAACCTGAACTTCCCGTGTTCTCAGAGTGGCTCCTCCTTCCTGAACCCAGCATGATTATCCCCTTTACTCTAGGACCAACGCACAATGTGCAAGTCTGAGTCTCCATCCCCCTCATTTGGCCCTGCTTCCTTCTGAGCTGGTCACCACATCCTACCCATCTTCTATCTCCTGCCTGCTTTCGAAGAGCTTCTGTCAGTAGAATTTCCTTTCCTTTTGGCTTGTTTTGAGGAATTCAGTGACATGTGCTTGGGCAAAGGCAGCTTAGAACAGCAAACGTGAGTTCTGGGCTCCTGCAAGGCTCTGCAAGTCTGTGTCAGCCCCCTGGTCCGGGCTGTGCAACGCAAGTTGACCTGTGTCAGCCTTTGCACTGACCACCCTCCCAGCTAGGACTCTACAGAGGGTTGGGAGCTGCTTCCCCTGAAGCCTATTTGGGCAGAGGCAACAGGAATGAGGGCTCTCCTGATGGCGTGTCTGGCTGCTGTCCTCTGCATGGATGTTGGTGAGTTGCTCTGAGTATGGCAAGGGTTGGGATGGGATGGAAAAGAGCTGGCGTTTTTAGGGGAGAAGCCGTATCTGTAACTTACAACTCCAGTGCTCTTTAAGAGGCCAGTAGATAACGATAGATAAGACTTCCCTTTCCCTGTCTGTATGGTCACCTTTGCTTCTCCTTTGTGCTGTCACAGCTGCCAAAGGACTTGTGCTGCAGACACTCTGCAGCCTTGGGCTGCCCACAGAGCAAGCCAGAATCTGTCACCTTCCCCTGTTCTCACGATGTGCCACCAGAAAGAGCCCTTTGGGTTTTCTCTGCAAACCCAACCCCATCTTGAGGTCTGCAGATGATGCCACGTTCTTTGGATGGGTGTGAAATTCAGCTTTGAGCTAAAAACTGAGTGCAACCTTCACTGCCTTTGTGGCTCTGTGACCAGTTGCTAAATGCTGTAATGGGGTAGTTGAGCATCAATGTCTGCACGAAGTTGCTGCTTCCCACCCAGCTGGAAAAGGGGGTTTTCTATAGGGAAGTGTGTGTTGAGCAGTTTTGGGTGTGGGATACTAGAAGGGTAGAACTATTTCAGGCAAATTCTCTATGTCTTATTCTATGTCCTGTGGCCTGCATGAGCATGGGAAAAAGTCTGACTGGGAAAGGGATTCTTGCTTTGACCTCATGAAAATCACTGATGTTCCCCCTCTGTAGCCAACTCGCTGTTGTGCTACATCTGCACCAACCAGGGCAGCAATGAGCAGTGCCTGATGACTTCCCCGTGTACCAAGAATGAGACAGGCTGTGAGACTGTAGTTATGAAGACTGGTGCTGTGAGTCCCACGGCCATGAGCTCTGTGGGTTAGAGAACCTTCTCCTTCCATGGCGCTTTGGGAGAACTTGAGCAGTGTTGGGTTACAGGTCAAGCCAAATTATTTCTTTGCTTGAACGTTGGGTAAGGGGTAGTTAAATGGACACTATAACCCATGTAGAAGGAAATGGAGCTGTTGGAGCAAGGCCAGAGGAGGCCACGAGGATGAGCAGGGGCTGGAGCAGCTCCCGTATGGAGACAGGCTGAGAACATTGGGGCTGTTCAGCCTGGAGAAGAGAAGCTGCTGGAGAGCTCAGAGCAGCTTCCAGGGTCTGAAGGGGGCCTACAAGGATGCTGGAGAGGGACCTTCATCAGGGACTGGAGTGACAGGACAAGGGGTGATGGGTTCAAACTGAAACAGGGGAAGTTCAGGTTCGAGATAAGGCAGAAGCTCTTCTCTGTGAGGGTGCTGAGGCGCTGGCACAGGGTGCCCAGAGAAGCTGTGGCTGCCCCATCCCTGGCAGTGTTCAAGGCCAGCTTGGACACAGGGGCTTGGAGCAACCTGCTCTAGTGGAAGGTGTCCCTGCCCATGGCAGGAGGTTGGAAGTGGATGATCTTAAGGTACTTTCCAACCAAAACCATTCTCTGATCTCATATGCTGCTTACAGAGTAAAGTCAGGATTTGCTCTTGAGAGAAGGATTCATGGGTTGGTTTTGTCTGACTCTTTATCCAGGTGCTCACCAGCAGAAGCTGATCCACAAAACCTGCACTTCAGCTTGCAGCAAGTCTCAAAACACTTCTGAATACTGCAATCAGGACAACTGCAACAAGGCAAATGGGATGGGACCTCCTGCAATGGTGCTGGGAGCTGCAGTTCTGGTCAGTGTTACCAAGGCCCTTCTCTGGGCTGGACTATGATAAGGTCCCTGTAGGATAAACCCCTGCAACCTCCTTGACCCATCCTGGTCCCCCAGGACCTTGTGGTCATTTTGCCCATCTGCCCCTGTGAATGTCTTCTGAATATCTGATGTTCAGGCATGGAAAGGCCAGTCTGAAGCTTGAGCTTGATGGAGAGGAGATCCCTCAGTTATTCTTTTATAGCTTCTCATGCAAAAGGGCTCTGCAGTCACCATTAAAAACATAAAATAAGAAATATCCATGATGTTCATTATTTATTCTTTTTTATCAGGTTATTTATTACAGCAGGGCTGGGGTTTTGCAAGTAGCATGGTCAGGTTGTTCACGCTGATACAAAGAGGTGGAGAATACAATCCTGATCAGTGCAGCCCCAGAGCAGAGTGTGTCTCTCACTGTTTCAGCCAGGCAGGAATTATTGAAGGCTTATAGGAAAAGGTTTAGAAGAGTAATGACTTTGCATCTCCAGTGGTATCGTTCTGGTATCACGTCAAGTCTCTGGTCTTGACAAGGTCCAGGGCAGCGTGGGGAAGGCATAAAGCAAATGAAATGCCCTCTGTTGGTTTCTGGCCCTGGGGTCAGTTAGTGCCCATCTCTGTAGTTGAACTCTCTCCCTCTAAGCTGGGATTTGGGCAATACAGGAGGATTTCAACACTTTGGGGTAACCTCTAAAATAAGATACCCCTGTTAATGTCCCCAAGTACAGGTACAATCCTGTATGTAACTTAACTACAGACCAAGCTGGGCTTTGGGCAATAGAGGAGTTCCAGAGACACCATAAAACAGGTAATACCAGTAATAAGAGATTTGGGGTGCCCCTGAGGCATCATTTCCCTGCTGTGCTTGAAAGAGAGGAAGCCAAAGGACAGGCTCTCACCAGGATCTCAACACCTTGGTGTAACGTAGCCCCAGGCATCCTATGCTGTGTTCTTGAACATGAGTATTCCTGCCCCACAGCAGGACTTCCATGGTGAGTTCCTGGCCGCCTTCACGGCACTGCATGGGAAGTTGGGTAGGAGAAAGCATTGGGTAGGAGAAACCACTGGGTAGGAGAAACCACAGGGTTTAAGACCATGTTACTTAGCAGTGAACCCGTGGGAAGGGTTAGCTCCAAGCTCCCGTTTTTCCTGGGACTTAAGCACTGGGGCATATGTGAAGGTCTGAGATGGGGATGGATCTGTGTCAAGGGGATGGGGTTGACAACCCACCTTGTTGTCCTGATTTTGAGGAGGTCACAACCATACAAAGAATGAGCTTCAATGGACCAAGCAGAAGTAAATCTCCAAGGAGGAGGAGAAAGATGGGGAGAAAGAGCCAGAAGGAAAAATCACTATTTGTCATTGGACTCCAGGATGGAAAGAGCTGGGGCTTGCTTGTTGTGTCTTGTTCAACACACGGAGCTGCCTCTTCTCCTCTCAGGGCAATGCATGCTTCAAACTGTCGTCTTCTCTGCCAAAACCAAGACCCATCATGTGGACCTCGCGTCTTCCTCCCCAACAACCCTGTCCAAAATGAAGGATGGGGAACAAGATGGGGTTTAATTCTGCAATTGCTTCAATAGGTTTTACTTAGGGCTGGAAAATCCTTGGTGATGCAATTGTATGTGGTGCTGAGAACCAATTCTGTCCTGCAGCCCCTGGTGTAATAGGAACTGGGTGGGAAATGGGAATAGGTACAGATGGGATCATACTGGGATAAATGGTAATACTTGGGAACCTCCTGAGATGCCACCTAAGAAGTGATGAGGCAGAAATCATGCTCTGACCACAGGGAAGCTGAACAGTTAAAAGCATCAGAGCAAATGAAAGGAAGAGGACCTATGAGACCAGGACATGATGTTTCTGTCCCTCTTTGTCGTTCCTTTGTGCTTCCATATGTGGTCACTTGTCCTATAAGAAGAGCCCAGTATGAGACTCCCAGAAGATAACTTAGATCCTTGGCTAACTTCCATTTATTGACTTCTGATCTCTGTTCTACATCCAGGAAGACTCAATGGCCACAACATTGCAGAGGGCACCCAAGTAAAGCTGTGTTTACTATCCAGCTCCAACACAGTTGTGCAGTGCAGTGTGGCACAGCCAAGGGTAAGATCAGGAACCAAGCTCTCATCCTGAAGGATGTGATTCACGTTCCTGTAAGAGTCTGCTCTCCAAGGCTGAACCTAACCTAGGGAAATAAACAGTTCTGGGAACATCCTTGGTCTGGAATGCTATCATCCACATTTCATTAATCATTGTTAGCATGTTCCCTGGCAAGGTTTTAACATGGAGCAACCACCATTGCCTCATGCAATGTCTGGAAGAAAACCAGAGGAGATAACACAAAGGAAGGACTATTCACAAGAGGCACTGTTGATGTCCACCTCTTGGCCTCCATGCTGGAGATGGTCCTGGACACATTTAATATACTGCTATGGATGTAACCTCATTTCTGCTCTGTGCTGCTGACTGATGGACACCTTTATTGCAGTTTTCTGCCTTGCCCCAGCCAGTCATAGAATCACAGAATGGTTTGGGTTGGAATGAACCTTAAGATCATCCAATTCTAACCCCCTGCCATGGGCAGGGACACCTCACACTTGTTCATGTCACCCAAGGCTCTGTCCAACCTGACCTTGAACACAGCAAAGGGATGGAGCATTCACCACTTCTCTGGGCACCCTGTGCCAGCGCCTCAGCACCCTCACAGTAAAGAACTTCTTAGATTAACCTGAACTTCCCCTGTTTCAGTTTGAACCCATCACCCCTTGTCCTGTCACTCCAGTCCCTGATGAAGGTCCCATCTGCAGCATCCTTGTAGCCCCCTTCAGACCCTGGAAGCTGCTCTGAGGTCTCCACACAGCTTCTCTTCTCCAAGCTGAACAGCCCCAACCTTCCATGCTGCAAGCATGCTGCTTCCATGTGTTGGCCATCCAGGATGACACCACCACCATCCTCAGTCTCCCATCTGTGCCTCTAAGGAAATGCCAGCCATGGCAGTCCCACACCTCACACATCTGCATCAGCCATACCTGAGGCCAGGATGGTAACTTCCCAACTATCTGCCTCAATGGGCCACCAGCAACCCTCAAAATGCCAAGTGACCCATTGTGCACCCTTGTCCATCATCACACTTGTCCATCAAACCACTCCTGCCAGTGGTGGACCACATCCCGTGGCCTTGCAGATCATCTTCCTGCTGTGAGCGAGGAGCAGGTTTGGATCCCTGGACCAGGTAATTCCTCTCCAGTGCTGTGTCAGAGGGGAGATGTTCACAACCATCAGTCCTTGGAAGTGAGGGGATAAAGTGGGTTGGGCACATTTCTTTGTTTAAACAAGTGAAGCATAAAGTCAAGAATGTGCCTTGATAATCATGCTGAAGAGTAACACATTGTTTTCACCTTCTTTTTACAAGGGCATGGAGGGACAGGACAAGGGGTGATGGGTTCAAACTGAAACAGGTGAAGATCAGGCTGGATATAAGGAGGAAGCTCTTCCCTGTGAGGGTGCTGAGGCGCTGGCACAGGGTGTCCAGAGAAGCTGTGGCTGCCCCATCCCTGGCAGTGTTCAAGGCCAGGTTGGACACAGGCGCTTGGACCAACCTGCTCTAGTGGAAGGGGCCCCTGCCACAGGCAGGGTTGGAACTGGATGAACTTTAAGATCCCTTCAATCCAAACTATTCCATGATTCTATGATTCTTCCTCAAAAAGCAGTCAAATCTGGTTAAAGCCAAACTGCTTTATCAGCACAGACCTTCACCAGGGTGCTCCTGCTGCTGCAGAACACTAAGCCTTGACTTCCCATGCTGATTCCCAAAGAGTCAGCCCTGCAGGAGGACACCACGCAGTGAATCACGCCGGGCAATCCTTGTTCCCTGGAATAGATTTATGTCTTCATTCCCTGCCTCGTGACAGCTGGGAGCACTGACACCCCTTCTCCGGCATCCCCAGTGGCATGCAGTCCCCGAGCCTGGCAGGATTTCAACTCTTGGGCAAGAGATGTGGCTTATCCTCTCCACACCCTGAAGCTGTCTGTCTGTTGGAAAGGAATGATTAGCGCTCCTGGGGTTATCTGAGCTGGCTTCACCATCCAGTCGATCCTGCTTTAAGTCACCTCTATTGGGAGACCTATTCTGGTGTCAGAGACCTCAAAAATAGCTGCAAATCAGCCAAAAACCTCTCCCAAATAGTCCCCTCCCTCCTTTTTTTATCTTGAAAAGGAAGATGCTATGGGCTTTGGTGACCCTTTGAACTTCCTCTGTCTGCCTATGCCTTCATTGTCATGAGTAATGATTAGTCCCATCACATGCTTTAAATGTCTTTTATGAGCATGACCCCTGCTTCAGGGTTGCTTGCTCATCTGACTGATCTCCTGCCTAGAAGCTAATGTTGGCCCCCAGCCATTTCAGCCCTTCCCTCATCCGTATAATCTCTTTCTTCCACGTGTTTTCTGAGCCTCTGCCTCTTCTCCTTTTGCACCTCCATCTTCTAAGCCCCAAGCCGTGTAGCTATAGTTGGGTCTCTGTTCTCTTCCAGCAGATCAAGTCTTGAAGGGTGGAGAAGGACGAGCAGATTGCCCAAGTGGTTTTATTCAAAGGGGCTGATCCTACTTCATCCTCTCCACTCCTTGGTGGCTTGTTGAGTGGTGACTCATGGAGACATCTGCTGATACCCAGCAGCAAACCTCCCGATAACTCTTTCCTTGGAAGCAGATGTGGGACAGGCACTTAAACAGGGGCTCCAGAAGGGCTGAAATTACCAGCTTCAGTTCCACCTAAACTACAAGCATGCAGAGAAATTACAAAGGCTGAGAACATTCTATCTGATAGGACTTGGAATCAGATGCTCCGTGCAGAAAGGGATTTTTATCCTTTGCTCAGATGTAGCAAAGGAAAGCAGTTACAAAGCTGGAAACCAGCCTCCAGTGTCCCAACTGAACCCCCAAACCATTGCTCCCTTGCAGCAGCTCCTCTCAAAACCAGGATGAGGAGCATTTAGGACTTTGAAGGTAACCAGCAGCTTTTATAGGCTATCAGGAATTTCGAAGGCATTTCCTGTTTATCTTGCCAGCCACAAATATACAGCTACATCTACTCTGACTGTAGATATTGGGAGTTCTCCAGGTCTAACCCTGGAGAAACACTTGGCAATAATCCACACAGATGAAGCCATTAATTTGTGCACTTAGTACCCTTTTGCTTTGAGTAGCTGCCTTCTCTGGCCACAGATGCGATGATCAGATTGGAGCTGGACAGTATAACAGCCCCACTCAGCCATCAGGAGCAGTGCTAGCCTGACCATAGGTAAATTAAAGTATTAAAAGCAATAAATGGAATGAATTGCTTTAGTGCTTTCACTCCTCTTCGGACCCGTCAGAGCAGCCTGAAGGCAATACCATGGTGAGAAAACAACCCACATGCATTCCTAGCCTCTCAAATAATGCATGATCCCTGCCCACTGTTTCCAAATCATTGTCTTCATCATCACTCCATCCAAAGGCAGGGAAGATAAATATCCTGTCCTCAGGTGAGGGTGCTTTTCCTGGGCTGTGGAGACGACTGAGAGAAGATGAAGGCCTCCCTCCTTGCTGTGCTGGCTTTGATCCTATGGGCAGGTCAAGGTGAGGTATCGTGGTTTGCTACTAGACAAAGAATAGTTGTGTGTTTTAAAGGCAGGGAGGCTTTGCAGGCAGGGAATGAAAGCATGCGAGAGGATGCCTTAGCTCTTGCAATGGTGCAGGTGAAGGACACGGTGTCCTTTTTGGGTTTCTAATCTGTACTCTCAGCCTGGATGTGTGAAGGTTTATTCTATGCCGGGAAGCTTCCCTACAGACACACGTATTGCTGGATTTATCTGAAAGCAAGGATAAAGAGGAGGAAGTTGCCATCACTCTGCCTTTTTTGCGAGGTTTCCCAGTGAGTTTGTTTGTTGAGGTGATGCAAGACTGTGGCTATTTCTAAATCTTGATGAAGTGCTTCAGCCTGTGAAAGCACAAGGCATCAGCAACTCTGTGCACTTGGTTTCTACCACAGTCACTTTATAGGAGCAGCCATAGGACAGGGCCAGACCTACAACATCTGCCCTTGTGCAGCTCCCTACTGACTGTCCCTGATTTCTGCCCATCTTAGAGACCCAACAAGCTTCCTGATTTCAGAGATTTTGGGACAAAGTTAGGGAATTTGGGATAACTGGGGTTGTGGACTGAATGGGTTAAGCAGCCTTATGCTGGGAGATCAGGTGGAGATGTATATTTGCATCTTATTTGCATTATAGATCATGTATTTTACTTCACAGAGAGATTGCAAATGAAGTCAGAGCCCTCTTAAAGTATATGATCTTATAGTCTCTGTAGGAATGGCAGTTAATAACCAGAGAGAATGAATGTTATCCTCATTTTGGAAAGAGGAACAGGGTTTGCCAGCGCTTGGAAATGCACCACGTTGTCTGGTGCAGGAAAATGATTTCTTGGAATAGTTATATCTGCCTCATTGTGGCCTAGGAAAACCCTGCTGCTCTTTAGCTTTGCTCACTTACAGAATAGCGATTCCCAAGTGTTAACAAGGCCCAGGGGACGCAGGGACTGTCTTCAATGCCACAATGAAGGTTGCCCTAATCCATGTTGGATAACCTAGGTAGTAAAAGCGAAGTGTTAGAGTGTCTTAGGGCTGAATTCACACAGCAAACAGTTGAAAGCCCTTCTCCTCACCTTTTTGGGTTTTTAACCCAGGTAATGGATATATGTTTGAGGACATTGAAGTCCCACCCAAAGACATGGGCATGGGAGACTGACTTCTTTAGGCTATGGAGGTCCCAGTTAACCCTATTCAACTGCCAATTCTTACTTCCCAATTAGGCTACAGTCTAATAGTCTCTGATAAGTAGAAAGGGTGACCCCAAGCCTTGGGACATCCCTATAGACTCCTACAGCAGACCCTGCCCTTCCCCACTCCCTCCATCACATCAAACCCAGTACCCTTGTCCCATTGTACTGAAGGAGGGGATCCTGCCCCTCTACTCTGCTCTGGTGAGACCCCACTTGCAGCACTGGGTGCAGTTCTGGGGTCCCCAACATAAGAAGGACATGGAGCTTTTGGAGCAAGGCCAGAGGAGGCCACGAGGATGAGCAGGGGCTGGAGCAGCTCCCGTATGGAGACAGCCTGAGAACATTGGGACTGTTCAGCCTGGAGAAGAGAAGCTGCTGGAGAGCTCAGAGCAGCTTCCAGGGTCTGAAGGGGGCTACAAGGATGCTGGAGAGGAACCTTCATCAGGGACTGGAGTGACAGGACAAGGGGTGATGGGTTCAAACTGAAACAGGGGAAGTTCAGGCTGGATGTAAGGAAGAAGTTCTTTACTGTGAGGGTGCTGAGGCGCTGGCACAGGGTGCCCAGAGGAGCTGTGGCTGCCCCATCCCTGGCAGTGTTCAAGGCCAGGTTGGACAGAGCCTTGGTCTGCATGGTCTAGTGTGAGGTGTCCCTGCCCATGGCAGGGGGTTGGAACTGGATGATCTTAAGGTCCTTTCCAACCCAAAGCATTCCCTGATTCTCTGATTGTGCTGTTATTTTGAGTGCAGGGCAGGAAGGACAGACTTACACCACCGGTGTGTGAACGCACGGGTGCATGTGCTTGAATGCATGTGTTGGGTGAAAATGGGCAAGTGTTCAGATGAAGGAGTAGATTTAGTCTGGATCGTTCAGCCCCGTCACCTTCAGCAATCCTGCACTTCATGCATTTGAGAGTCAGCAGAAAGAAGGAGGTAATTTTTGCTGCCAGGACCAGTGGCATTTCGTCTCCATCTTCCATTCCTTCTGTCTCCTCCTGCAGCAAACGCCCTGTATTGCTACACCTGCGAGTGGGAGCAAAGCAACTGGAGCTGTCTGAAGGCCAAGAAGTGCTCGGACAAGGATGAGTACTGTGTGACCAATGTTGCCTCTGTAGGAATTGGTATGTGCTGGGCATGTATCCTCTGATGGGGGCACAGGAATGGGATGTGGGGTTTTGACTGGGTTTATGGGGGTTGTCCTTTGTTGGCAGATGGGGTGAGGATTCATGGGGTGAGGATACATGTGGGAGGTGAAGCCTTTGCTAGCCCAGCTTTACAGTGCTGAAGTTTGCACCTTTTGAAATCCTCCTCCCCATCACAGCTTCTCTTTAGCCTTGGATTTATGCCTGCATAGAAAGGCAGGGGACAGTGAGACAAGAAAAAGGACTGAGAGAGGATCCTTCAGAAGAAGAATGAATTTGAATCTTGATTAAACGAGGAGATGAAAAGATGCAGGTAGCCAGGATGAGAAGGTCTAGAGAGATGTAAAGGGGAGTTAAATTATTTCCTTCAAGCAGAGAAGCCTTAAGATGTGCTTTCAATCCAGGCGTGGATGTTGTCCATCGTACACCTAAAAAAGCCTTAACATGAGGGTCAATGCTGTGACATGCCAGGTGCCCAGAAGGGATTCTGAACAGAGCAGGGATATTTAGTGTTAAATGCCTCATCCCTGGCAGTGTTCAAGGCCAGGCTGGACACAGGGGCTTGGAGCAACCTGCTCTAGTGGAAGGTGTCCCTGCCCGTGGCAGGGGTTGGAACTGGATGACCTTAAGGTCCTTTCCAACCAAAACCATTCTGTGATTCTATGATTCTATGCTTTGTGTAGCTGGTCACCAGCAATTATTGGGCTGGGTGGGATCAAGGTGGGTCTCATTGAGTGTGCTGGTCCTTGGGGCTGTGGGGGGACAGTGGGACTCATAGAATCATAGAATCATGGAATGGTTTGGGTTGGAAAGGACCTTAAGATCACCCAGTTCCAACCCCTACCATGGGCAGGGACACCTCACATTCCTGTACAAGATTGAGAAGCACTCAAACTCTCTTTGCTAA